ATTTGGATACTAAATTCAGATCCCATCAGGGTAATGAGGGAAGGATTGAGGAATTACTATTTTCATTTGGCGATCCTGCATATAGGGTTGTTTTTACATCTCATGTGTGCTTTCCAAGTACTTTAGAATAAAGTAGTATTTGTGACAAGCTCTATTTAAGGATGCTTTTAACATGCAGAACAAAAATTAAATTTGCTTGCTGTTATGATTTCTCTCGGATATGGGGATTTGTAGACTGTTGTTTCCATAGACCTAAAACTAACTTATTAGTCACTGTAGATGTAAGTACTTTATTGACCTGATTTCTTGTATAATTTCTGAATGGTCCCTGAATGTATGTATGGAATTGGTGGTTTTTGTGCTGCTGCTATTATGCCTTTCCTGGAAAACAAAGTGAGCTTTTCATGCTTGGGTAAACACATTGAGGCATTATGAAACTGTCAGACTCTTTGAGCGATTGGCATAAGGTTAATTATTCAAATACGTGGCTCTTTTGAATGACTTTTGTGTCAGCTAATGCTTTAGCACAACCAGCATAGGCACATTTCAATACCTTTCCTTAAGAAATTAAATCTCAACTGTATGATTAAGGAAATCCAAAGGATTAGTCCTTTTGTGAGCAGTTTAATTATAATATACAGCTAATTGGTAGCATTCATCTTCAAAGATTCATAGTTCATTTTAAAATATCTTTTAAAATAAAAATTTAAGTTGTTCATACATTTTCCTTATCATGTAGCATAACTTTTTTCCCTGTGTTTTCTTCCTGTTTGTCAACATGCACACATACTTTTTTATATAGTGTACTTGCAATTTTGTTTCCTTTAAAAATTATATTTGCATTGTAAATCTTTTTCAAGTTCTGTGGTCTTTATAGTAACAACTTTTATTGCTTGCTCAATACCAAATTATTAACATGCTAGTCATTTCCCTTATTTGACTTGTATGTATTCCATTTTTTTTTACTGATAATATGAAGACATATCATGCATTGTAGCTTGTTTTTCTTACTTTCAGTTATATTAGAAGGACAATGTTCAGAAGTATCATTATGTCAGTGGACTTGAAAAATTATGTTTTATGGATCGCCCAGTTGCTTTCCAGAAGATGGTACCCTTAACAGACTGATGGTTGCCCGAAACGGGGGTGCGGGTTGGAGGACTTGGTGGAAAAGGTGAAGGATTTGAGAAGTACAGATATAGGTAGCTACGAAATAGTTATGGGAATGTAAAGTATGGCATAAGGAATATAGTCTGTAATATGTAATAACTATATATGGTGCCAAGTGGGTACTGGAAATAATCAGGGGGAGCACTTTGTAAAGTGTATGATTGTCTAACCACTATCCTTGTACACCAGAAACTGATACAAAATAATATTGAATGTAAATGGTAATTTAAAAATTAAGAAAGTAAAGAAAACACTAGAAAAACACCAAAAAACTCTCACAAAAGATGGTGCTTTCTTTTTGATCACAGGAGTATGTAATTCCTTTTACTAAATAAATAAATTAAATTAAAAAATAACATAAAAAATAAGTATCCTCCAAAATTACTGTCACCTTAGTAGAGACTCTTTCCTGTGTAAATTCAGTTTCTATTTTTAGCAAAGTAATAGATACAAATAATTTTTAAAAACCCACCAAGCTATGAATGTGACAGCGAAGAACAGTAGCCTCTTACCTCCCCATCTCCACTCCAGTTCCTGGCTTTGAGAACCCTGATCTCCCAACTGTTTCCAATGATATTTGCCTCAGCTTGCTAGATGGCTTGCTTTTGCAGTTTGACTATTTTTTCCCCACACTTTAAGTTTTCTGTTGATTCCCTTCTCTGGAAGATGAGACTTTAGCACGTAGTTTCCTTCCCATTCTTTCAATATTGACATGAAATAAATTTTGGTTTTACCAATATATATATAGATAGTAAAATATAATGAGGGTTAGTATTATTCACACCAAATCTTATATTTATATTAGGATTATTATCTTATATTTTATATATCTTTCTGGAAATTGGTAACTCCTTTCTTTTTCCTCCCTTTGTTTTCTCTATTCCTGTTTCTAATAAGTCACCAAATAAATCATCTCACTACTTCCAAACAAATCAGATAATTCATCAGATGTGGTTTTTTTTTTTTTATTTTTATGTTCAAAACTTTGTTCTGGGAGCCTCCATATTTTCTCCACTGTGGACTGGTTGCTATTAGGGCCTGCTTGCTTGGCTGACATCTTGGAATTTCCTTTGTTAGTTTAAACTGGGCATTTCCTTCGTCTCTGTCTGTTTTGTTGATTGTCTGATTTTGCCTGATTCCTGGGTCTCAGATCTTACTCCTTTAAATTTACTTCCACATTTTGGTGGATTCTTGAGAAAGGTATAAGGAAGATGTTTAATTTTAGAGACAGGCATATCTGAAAATGTCTTTATTCTGTCATCATATTTGATTGGTAGTTTAGGTGACTATGCAGTTCTAGGTTAGGGATTTTTTTTTTTTTTTTTTTTTAAATTCTGAAGGCATCGCTCCATTGCCTTCTTAGTTTCATGGTTGCTGTTGAGTCCAGTGCCATTCTGACTCCCAAATCTTTCCTATGATTCCCCGCCTCACATCCCTTCGTCTCTGAAAACTGAGAATCTTCTTCTTTCTGGAGTTCTGAAACTCTACAATATTTCTTGGTACCTCTTTTCATTCATTTCATTGGCCATGTCGTGGGTTCTTTCAAATAGGAAATTGCATGTTCTGCAGTCCTGTGTGGTTTCTGTCTTTGGATACCTTAGTTGAATATAGTATCTTTTAGACTAATCCTCTGATTTTCATGTTTTATTTTTTTCTCTCCCATTTCTTCATCTCAGTGTCTTTTTGTTAACTTTAATTTTCACTTTTACTGGAATCCTGTATTGATGCTACAATAATTTTTAATTTCTAAGAGCTTATTTATTCCTGTTTTTTTTTTTAAATAGCATTATGTTGCTTCATCTCTTTATTTCTCTGAGGATATTAATTATATTTTTGGTTGGTGAAATTTTTTATGCTCCTTGCATCATCTTTAATTCTTCTGAGGTGTGTGCACTTGCACACTTTCTTTTTTGCATGTTAGGGACCTTCCTCACATGTCTGGAGAAATGTGGCTCTTTTTAAATGAGAGATGCAGGCACTTAAAGGGAAAAAAGAGATCACTGGAAACTCTGTGTACATGGGTGAGGCTTATAACATGGTGCATCTCTATAGTATAATCTGCATCTATCAGACCTCGTGTCTGCGAGCCTGGCTGTGGTGAAAGGCAGGCGGGATTTCACTGAGCAGGCTTTGACTTAGTCTCTCTGTCTTACTCTTTATACTCCCCCCTGCCCTGAGCTGTGCTTAAAGTCAGCTCTTCCAGAACAGAAATTTCCAGTCTCCTGCCTTAGTATGAATGGTAGAGGAGAGAAGATGGGGGCCTAACTATTCTTCACATATATATATTTTCAACCAGTTCCTTTTCCTTCAGAGGTACCCGGACCTAATTTCTTATTGTCTACTCCACAGGCTTAAATTTCAGCTTTGTTTCTTTTTTTAGTTACCATTTGTTCATTTTTTTCTAGCTTCAAGGATTTTGTTGCATATCTAGTTTGTATTCTCCCCTCTTACTTTTATTTGTATATTTATGAGTTTATTCCATATTTTTATGCCTGTATAAATTATTTTAGTGTCACTTTTGTACAGTTTTTAAAGAGTGTGGGGGAGAAAAGGAATGTGCTCACTTGCCATGGTTAATGGAAATATTAGTGTGGGCTCTTATTTAGATTGGTCAAAATAATTTTTTCTCCATGACCCATTTGTGGGATATCTGTATATTTTATGATACACAGTAATTCCTTTTAAAAATGTCTTTTAAATTTTTTATTCTAATTTTTGCATATATTTATTTAACATTGCAGATTTTATAAAATTCTCATTGGGGGTGGAGGGGAGAGAGAGAGAGAGAAACATTGATGTGAGAGAAAAACATCTATTGGTTGTCTCCTGCATAAGCCCTGACTAGGGACTGAACCCACAACTAGGGTGTGCCCTGATCAGGAATTGGTGTATGGAATGATGCAACCAACTGAGCCACACTAGCCAGAGCAACGTTGCAGATTTATTGGGTTGGCCAAAAAGTCCGTATGATTTCTTTCTGTAAAATGAAAGACACATTGTTCTTTTTCACCAATAACTTTATTGATTTGGGTATGTCAGCTATCTCCCACATGGTATAACGTTTTTTGTTCTCAATTAATGTCTCAGTTTGATTGCTGTCAACTTCAACTGGTTTACCCAACCACAGACCATCATCCAGTGAGAAATCTCCGGCACGAAACTTAGCAAACCACTTCTGACGCGTTCAATCAGTCACAGCACTTTCTCCATTGTGGCACCAGTCTTTTTTTGCATTTCAGTTATGTTTTTAACTTTCTTGAAATAATGAAGCATATATATGTCAAAAATGTTGCGTATTTTTTCCGTCTTCAATATTAAAATGGCTGCACACAAATTCACCAGTTTTGATAAGGTCGCTGACATGACAGCTGTCACAATACAACCTAACAAAATTGTTTCAAGGGAAGTTAAAGGCAACTAAGCACTACTAGAGCCAACTTACAGAAAAAAACAAATGAACTTTTTGGCCAGCCCAATAATAGTTTTCATAAGTAGAAAATGTGACCGCCTACTAGATAACTTAAAGGAATACTTACTATTCTCATTGGGTTACTTACTCATTTTTAAAATTTTTAGATTTTGAGACAGTTATAGATTAATAAGGGAGTTGCGAAATAGAACAGAGACCTCTTTTGTACCCAGTTTATCCCAGTGGATAAACTATAGTCATAACATCTTCATATGACTATAGTACAGTATCAAAAGCAGGAAATTGATATTGCTACAATTCTCATTAATTTTTAAAAGACATTGTTTTAAATTTCATATTAGACAAAAAGTTTATGTTGCAAATATATGTGAGACCTTTGTGAAACTATTTTGTCTTACAGCAATTTTTCCAGCTAGTCAAATTACGAAAGCTTGGACTTAGTGATAATGAAATTCAGCGGCTCCCTCCAGAAATAGCAAACTTCATGCAGCTGGTGGAACTGGATGTCTCTCGAAATGGTAAGAAAAAGATTCCGCTTGAATTGTCCATTTGTCTCTTCTGATGCCAGGGGAGATTTTTGATAAATGTTACTGGAGATACTTTTCCTGGTGGTTTTGGAAAGCTATGTATAAATTTTGGGATGGAATTAATACCATTATCAGAGAGTTTAATTAACGTACAGATACTTACCAAAACTTTTCATAACAGTTTTTAAATAACTTTTTCAAAGTAGGTTCAGGCTAACTCATAGAGTTAAGAGTGTTATCTGAGAAACTGTTATCTAGCTCTCTCATTTTACCAAATGTGGCACTGAGGGCTGGTGGTGTGGTCATTTGTCCAGTACTCAGGGGCTGCTGAGGTGAGGGGAAACCGCCCTGGGCGACAGCCGGCTTCTCCGCCTGTGGCTCAGTTGCCTGGCCTTTTCCTGTGAGAATCTGTCTTCCTGCGGTGAACAGACCTGCTTGCTGTTCAGGCATCTTCTGCCAGTTTAATTTATTTCTAATTAGGCCACTGGTGGGTCTGCCCCCTGGAGTTTGTGGTGTATTTGTGAGTTTATTTTGATTTCCAGATTTCACTATAATGTTGCTTTCTTTTTACGGAACATTCTAATAGAGTATTTGTGTCCTGTTTAACCTTTCACTTATCAAAGAGTTCCCTGGTTTAACCTCGTGTTTCATAGCCCTTAGAACACTCCCTGAGTGGGTTGGTAACCCTGGTTGTTATCACGTATGTGATTAATTACTTTAGGTTAAAGTGGCAGATCCCAGTGGTCCTGACTTAAATGATGGGATTCAGTTCTTGCAAGGGCTCTGGTATAATTTCTTCTGGAATTATTTATAAAAACGATAATCCTTGTCTTTCTCTCATATCACATATCTGTTTTGTGTTTTGTTTTGGTTTTGCTATAACAATTTCTACTTTTCAATGAACATTGGTTCTGGATCTTTCAGTCTCACATCTTCCACAGAAACTTAAAGGCCCAGATACAGTATTTTTGGGTGGTCATTGTTATAAGGCAGCAATGATAATCAGAACTTGATTGAAAACACAAAACAAGGGATTGTACACCCCACTTTTAACAGGTTTTAAACTACTGTCATCTGTAACATCCCATAAGTTGTCAACTGTCTTTAGGCTAAGCTGTGTGTTTTTTGACATCAGATCTACTTTTATTTTTCGTGCAAATTATTTCCTACCTTGAATTACTGGAAAAAGTGAAAAAAAAAAAAAAGTGTTCTGGGGGCACATTTTACAGAGGCTTATTTGGTTGCAGAGGACCCACCTCTGCTCAGGTCAAGGGGATTTGATGGTAAGGGTGGCGTTGGAGCTGACATTCCAAAAGCGCTGGCATGGAACTTGCCTCCGACGTCCCTGTAGGGCTTTAGTGGCCTCTGCTGCAGTGTGTCCCTGTGGGCGGGTGCTCCATCCTTGCCCTGCGGACCTGCTTGGAACTGGCCTCTCCAGAACCACTTTGTTGTGGTCTTTCTCCATGTACATTTTGGCATCTGTCAAACAGATCGTCTTTTTAAGCCAATCATAAACCATAAGCCACAGGTTGCTGGACAGCCTAAAGAGTGGCCGTCCTGGGGACAGGGGTGGCAAGCAGTGCAAAGCATGGCTCCACCCCTCGGCACTGACTCGGTTGATGAACAGTTTCCCTTAACACTGGAGTGTATACTTGGAGCAGGCATCTGAGGCTGGAATTGCTTCTGAGGCTATTCCGTACCACACTTATCTAAGGAATACGTAACTCAAGCTGTTCTTTCTTGTCTTAGCAATTATCTCAGTTATAAAGGGTGGCTGGATTTGCAAGGAAGCTGTGACTTTGTAAAATGGTCATGAAAGTCATACAATCTGAAGAAATAAAATAGCAATTTGGAAATTGGCATGAGAAAGGAAAATAAGCAGGGGTCTAGAAATGCTTTAGAAAGAGAAGTACTGACTTTAATTATTTTGGAGGAGAGAAAACATAAAGCTTGAAAGTTTGCAGTTGCATTATTAACTCTATTGGGACGGGATGCTCTGTAGAAAGCTGGCATTATGAGTTGCTACTTTTACTAGTTCCCATATCATCTATTTCTTTCCAAACATTCGTACCCAGAAAGAAGGACCACCTGCATCTTTGTGTATTTATACCTTCTAGCACGTTGATAAAAGAAGCTAAGCTTCCGCCGAAGTCAGCATCAGGACACAAAAAAGTGTTCTGTCCTTGGGGTCCCTGTTCTCTTTTTTTATCCTGTCCTCATTTTCAACCATTCCTTCTGCATGCGGTAGAGTTTTATAAGGGGTCCTGCAGGTCTTTCCCCTTTTCTCTCAGGCTCTTTTAGAAATGCTGAGGGGGAGCTGGCTGCCCCTTTCCACTAATGGCAGAACCTTGCTCTGGCTCAGTAGCATGGAGAGGTGTGTGTGTGTTTGGGGAAGTGGTGGGGGAAGGGCGCAGTGGGCAGCACGGAAGAGGATTGTAGCTCAGGGCTTTCGTTAAGGTTGTGAAAAAAATGCAGCGATGACAGAGCAGAACAAGATCCCTGTCTATTCTGACTAACAGGAACATGGGTCTTGGGCTGCTTCCAGGTCAGGCAAATCTCACTGTGCTTTTCCTCATTTTTTCTTTTTTACAGATAAAAATCTTATTAACGTGCATTTCCTAGGCAACTGAGTAGGTAAATAAAAGTCACAAAGTCTGCAGTCTGAGAGTCAGTGTGAGCACCCCTACTCCGTGTGGGTGCAGGCATTGGCAAAGTTTGGAGCTTGGGTCTGGAAGCCTGTATGAGCCTCTGGTCTTCTCTTGTACGGGCTGTGCTGCCCGCTCCATGACCAGAGGCTGTTTCTGTGAGTCCCTGCCCAGGACCGTAGCCAGGGCAGCCAGGGCTGGCCTTTGCCATGGTAGGCCCTTTAGCTCCTGATGCAGGAATTAAGCACTCTTGGACAATGGAGGAGGAAGGCAGGATGCTGGTGTCACACCACTCAAGTCCATTGGATCAGTGCTTGTCGAGTTTGAATGTGCATAGGGTGTTGTTAAAATGCGATTCTGATACAGAAGGCCTGGAGTGGGGCTCGAGACTCCACGTTGTTGAGAATCTCCCAGAGGATGCTGACCCTGCTGGTCCACTGAACACACTGAGTAGCAAGAGCTTAGATGTCATCACCCACAAAGTCCCCTTTGTGTGGTCATGAGCACAGATTCACTCAGCTTCTGGCACCCCTGTACCTTCCCATAGGGAACGGTGGGAAGCGGTCAGGATATTCCTGGTTACAGGGTAAGATGCTAGAGCTGACTTAATTAAGCTCAAGTTGGCTTTGATTCCAGGAGCAAAATTAGACCTTTTTTGATGTCCCTTGCTCGTGTGACAGAAAAAGACAAGTTTTGTGTTTCTCCATGTCTGCCTCCCACCAAAAAAAAAAAAGAAAATCTGTGAATGAGGAGGAGAGAATTTTTTACAGGCTCATTTCCTAGGCTAAGAAGAGCTGCCAAGACCTCCAAACCCTGACTTTGTGGGTTTGTTTTCTGATTTTTCAGGCACAAAGTCAAGGAAATTGTGTGTTGGGTTAAAAAAGAGAAGAGTGAGCTTTGGGAAAGAGAGGGCAGTGCTTACTGGTTATATATAGGCTGTGGGGACGTTTTCTGAGGTAAAAGCAAGCTCGGGATGAGCACACTGTGTACAGTCTTGTCCCCGGAATGGCCAGATGTGCTCTGCAGAGAAGATTCTTGTGGGAGCCTGGGCTCTGCCTCTCACCTCCCTGCTGATTTTGGACAGGCCGCACCCGACAGAGCTGGGCCTTGTTCCGTGAAGAAATGGGACAAAATCTCACTTTCTTACAAGCCAGTGAGGGGCAATTAATGTGACAAATTTCTCATGCAAATAGCTAAAATATATATGTAATAAAAGAAACTGTTTCCCTTGAATGCAGATTGAAGGATGGAGTATTCATAGCTGAATATTACTACTAGTATGTGAATGTGCTCTTAAAATATCTAAAAAAGCATGTAAGTTTGCATTAAAGTCTGAGGTGCATATGCCTGAAAGCCTGGCCTTTGTCTTTCTCTGCTCACCAGTTCTTGGCTGTGCAAGGAAAATGATTTTGGTTTTGTGAGAAGAGTTAATACCCCATCGTGCTATCTTGTTATCCAAAAATCTAGGGTAGACTTCCTTAATGCATAATGAATCCTGCCTGAGGGCTTAGTAATTTGAATTTTATAGTCTATACTGTAATTTGACTTACATCATAGTACTGTATCATTATCCATTTAGTTCAGTTTTTCCCAAAGTGAAAGCCATACACCAGTGGTACTGCTGGAGATGATTTTAAGTGACACTGCAAAACAGCAGTTTTTAATATAGAATCCTAGTGAGAAAGTTACCCTTTAAAAAGTTATTCCTTTTGGTTATCTTCTGTAAAATTTCATAACACTATATTGTATTTATTGTTACATTTATCTTCTGTATCTTGGGGTGATAGTTCTTATTCATGGTAGTGATTTAAGGAAATTTGCTTCCTTTAAAAATAAATGTCACTCAAAATTTAAAAAGGTGGCTTAAAAGGATGAGGTAAATGTTATAGAATACACATGGCTATACCACCAGTATGGCAAAGATTGTGAAGGTGGAACAGGGATGGCTGAAGTTAAGGAAGCACTGATTGGTGGTAGCATATCATGCCGGTGAGGTCATGAGTTTATTTCCCTTACGGTGTGAGTAGTATTGCATTCAGAAAAACATGGCCATAGTCTGCGCACTCTGGCTAATTATTTCGTAAATTTGTGTTAACAGGAAACTAAAAGATAGTTTTAGTACAAATCATTCCTAGCACCAGGCCACTATTTCTGAGTTACTGGATGAACAGTTTGTCTACCAGTAGGGTCAACATCCCACAGAGTCTACAGGCTAGACTTTGATTAAAACCTGGGTTAGTTGGTTTCAGTCCACCCATGAGATGCTGATCAGTGTCTGGTCTGTAGCTGTGGGTTGCTTAATGAAATCTAAAGCCAGCTTCGAAGACTGCCAGAATGACCTTAAGC